TACTTTTCTAGAGAAATGCTTTCAAGGGAACATATTATATTGAATATGCTGGCCTTCAAATCCTACCTCCTGGTTAATTCAATTCAGCATCTTTTAAGGGCCATTATCACGATGGAATCTCACATCTAGGGTCAATGAGTATTTCTATTATTACTGTCCAAACTTGCTTTGGCAACTCTTGCTTATGAAGCTAACTTAATTAAATGTGACATATATTTTGATTATATATCAAGCAATATACTATTCACAGTTAAGATCATAACTACTATCAGATCCTCAGAGGGTTCACAAATTTTTGTAATGACTATGTCCATCACCACCTCCGGTACGTATAACAGCATTTTTTTTTCACAATGTGTGGTGAAAGATTAAATAAGTATAGATGTATATATTATTTATACTTACATGAAAAAATGACTCATTCTATATTTTCATCTTATTAAATAAAGGCACAAAAATATAATTGCTTGTGGTCAGAAAAAAATATTTGATACATGATAAAATGTGATTCTGGAAAAAGCAAAGAAACAGTCTACACATAAGTCTGTATTTTTCTTTTCTTTAAGATATTTAAGGTTCTTGCTGTACTCCTAACAGTAACAATAATATTTATGTAATGTTTATTATAAACCATTGTTTTAACTTCTTTACATATATTACAAAATTTCATCCTTCTAATAATCTAATGATATGAGTACTATTTTCAAGCCCTTTCCCTTATGTGGATGGTAACATCTCACAGCTATAAAATGTCTTATAAACATGGATATTAAAGAAATGCATATTTATAGAATTAATTAACAAAACCTAATGCATTTCTTTGAAATATAAAACAATATAACTGAAATTAACATGATGGATGTTTAGAACATTGCCATATATGTTGTGAAGTTTCTAAGAAGAAAAATTATTTAAATATCAGCTTGAAAACAGTAACTAAAAAAATCCATATTCACCAACAGAAGTTATCACCAAAATTAATATTTTTGGAATTTGAATATGTACATGGTAGTTTTGGATAATTTCAATGTATTGTAGGATAAATCAAAATATAATGCTGAAATCTTGTACTATTATGAATTATTTCTTACTATATGAAATATGTAAATTACATTATAAAAACAAATGATTTATTAGTAGATACTCTATTCTCTACCATAGTACATTCAATCTTTGATTTTCATTTTTGGAAAAATTATATTGAGAAATGATGGGCTCTGATTAATGGAATAAAGTATCTTTCTACAGAAGTTAATTGTAATCTATGCTTCTTTTATTATAAAAATCATTAGGTGTTAGGTTTACTTACAGCTTTTATTTACACATGAATGACATATCTTCTTATTTTCCTAACTGTGAAAGTTAATTTTACGTGTTAACATGACTAGGCTAAAGATAATTGCTAAAACATTATTTCTAGGTGTGCATGTGACAATGTTTCTGCAGGAGCTTAGTATTTGAATCAACAAACTAAAGAATATCTGCCCTCCCTCACTAATGTAGCTCAGCCTCATCCAAGGCATTGAAGTGGAGCTAGAATGAGAAGATGCAGAAAAGACAAATTTGCTCCCTATTCTTAAGCTGGGACATCTGTCTTCTCCTGCCTTTAGAGGTCAGAGCTCTTGGTTATGGGCCTTCAGACGTGGGAACTGACATCAGTACCCACTCCCCAGGCCTTTGGACGAGGAATAAATTACACCACCAACTTTCCTCGTTCTTCAGTTTGTAGATCATGGGACTTCATGTCCTCCATAATCATGTGAGCCAATTCCCAAAATAAATCTCAGTATCTCTCTCATCAGGTAGAAAAATAGATGTAGATATACAAAATAGATACAAAGATATCTCCTACTGGTTCTCTTTCTCCAAAGAACCGTGACTAATACACGAAGTATTTCAGGGTAAGTTTCCTAATACCAATTCGCTATGTCCAACAGATAAGATCACATCTCTTGTACTATATTGCATTGCTCAAGCCCTAATGATCATCTAAGTCAGAGCACACAAAAATTATCTATAAGACATTCAAAACCAATATTCAGCATCAGAGAAACACAAAGTTTTCTAATCTCTAATTGTCATTAAAATAAAATGTGATGTAATATCCAACAGCACTTTTGTTCTCCTAACATTCAATTTTGTCTTGATGTTTAATTCATGGTACTCCATTGTTGAAAAGTATATTTGATTTTGTATACTATAGTGGCTATATCTAAGTCTAATACTACTATGTAACAAAGATCTCATCCACCACAGACACATTAAACACAAGGTTTTAAAAGTTAATTTACTGATGCTGAGATATGAATTGTCCACCTCAACTTAGTGAAATCCTAAGTCTTGTAAATGTGGTTTAGCCTATGATACAGGTCCTGTTTCTCATTGTATACTTCCACCCCAGCCAAATGATTATTTTCACTGCATCCCTACATGCCAAATGATTTTCAACATTCCTAAAACTTGAGGCATACATGAAATAATTCTATGCCTTTGTACAAGACACTCCCTTCGCCTAGAAGTTGCCTTCTACCTTTTTTTCAAGCCTGTATGTGATTCCTTCACAGTTCTTTTCAAAGAGCTGACATGCAACTTCTTATTCACAATTCTTCCCGACCAGAATTAATATCTCCTTTTATTATTTTTTTCACAAAACTTACTCGGAACAACCTGAAGACACATTCTTTGGCCTACTGATTCTGTATAATTATTGCTGTGCTTCAATAGTCCTTGAGGGTAGAAAAATCTGTCTTAAGCACAGTAACAGGGTATTTGGAATAGAAAAGCATAAAACAGAAGTTTGTTAAATTGAATTCAGGACAATGCTTAAAAGAAAACAAAGTATACTTTAAATGTTGACACAAATGAATTAATAAGGAAGTGTTTTAGAAAATTAACAATTCTCTTTTCATTTCTGTAAGCCTAAAACGGTATTTGTTCAGGCTATTCATCCTTTTTCCATAATTACTAACCAGGAATGTTCAATTTCTACTGAAATGACTATTTATTGGTGTGTTCACAGGCACACGCTGGATGCCTAGTTCTGTAACTATATCAGCATAGAATAGAGAAATGACTATTTTAAGTAAAAAAAAAATCTATGGAATCAATGAATACATTTCCTACATTTCATGTAGCACTTGAAAAAAATCTTCTTTATAGAAAGGGTTTTTTCAATTAAAAAGTTATTCCTAGGAAATAGATTAGTTATAAAAATACCAGATACACTTTATAACACATACTGCCAATTATATTGTCTACCTATCTTTTCCACTCATAACGTATTTGTAAAATCAACCGAATTAGTGTCTACGTAAATATGTAATTGTTAAAATGGTCAATCAAATTAGCATGCCTCAGTGAACCTGAATACCTGAAAAATTTATATGATTTCAATTAGATATAATAACAATTTTAATGTATGCATATGAATGATAGTTTACATGTTATAAACTGATTAATGATTCTGGTGGATTTTAAATACTGTAACCTGTATTGATATCTCGATTATTTTCATTCTTGGCATTTTTAGTAGCCTCCTGAAAAAGTTCTTCATCCTTACCGATTAGTTGCTTATTTTAACCTATAAATAGCATTAAGTAAAGCTCCATTAGTACCAGTAATCTATCCTCTTCATTAAAAAATGAAAAAAATTGATTGCATATTTTCTTTAAAACCTATTTATATCATCTATCCATTCCACTATTCATAAGATTTTAAACATCTGCTATTTAGACACACACACACACACACACACACACACACACACACCCAAAGGTATTTTAGAAACATTTCATTTATTTCTTAAAAGTGATAAACATGACCTGCTTAAGATACTCAACAATACTAATGTTTACTCACTTTAACGGATATAAGACAATGAAGATAAAAGAATAATCCTAGTTTCAGATACATATCTCAGAGTTTGATGAGAGCTCTAGTAGAATAAATGAAAATTTCAGAAAAATAAACTCACAGTATATAAAACTTATAAATCTAAAGAAGTAAATGGGCTGTTATAGCAAAAGAGGAAGATTTCACTTTTCATAGGATAGTTGAAAATACATGCTTATTTGTGAATAACTGTTGATGTAAAATGTCAAATTCAAACAGCAATATGTGAAAGACTTTAAGAGAATAAAACATTTGGATCGATTTCTCCTTTGAGATTTAAATTTGATGATATACTTGAAGAAGCAATGTAAAAATGTCAAGAACGCGATTAAGGAGAAAACTACTATTTCTAAGGAAAAAAAGGAAAGCTAACCCAAGTGTATCTGAAACCATGTGGCTGCCTTTATTATTGAATATTTTGTTTAGACAAAAAACAAAGCAAATGCTACAAAACCATCCTTTTATTTTAGTTTAATGTGAAAACAAGAAGCAGAAATATACTGTAATGCAAAAATGATGCAAAATATATGAAAATACATAAAAAGTCAAGTACAACTGTAGCTAAAATCTTGGTCCATTAAAAGTTATATTTTGCAAATTACACATCCTTATAAGCCTTTAAATACAACTACTTTCAGTTAACTAAACAATCACCTTGTATCTTCCTACCAAGTTCAAAAATACATACTTTAGTAGATTTGTATTTTGTAATAAAAATCAAATTTTTAACACTTGCACAATCCACTTATACTATGGTAGTCCAAAGTTTGCTTATGCACACTCACTGAGGGTATTAAATTTAACATATATATAAATGTATACATAGAAATTCATATTAAAGGAAAATACTTATATGGGAGATTCTAATGTTACTACGTATAATAAACATAGTATTAAAGAATAATTACTAATTTAGGAGAAAGGAAGGATCTTTATGCATCATTTCCATTGTTTACCAGTTCTAATTGTATTTTAATCTTTACTTTGTGATTTAAGTTATATGCCCAAATTCCTAACAAGTAGACCCCAAAATTCACCATTCCATCAATTATTATGAGATCTTAAAAACCTAACAAAGATGGCGATTTTTCAAAGATATTTAAACTTACCCCATTTAATGGATATGTTTTCCATCCTAGCTCTCCCAGCACAGTTGTTGTATCAAGCAACACAACTGGAATTAAATTAAAAAAAAAATCATGAATTTCTCAACACAAAATACATTATTAGTTGTTTAAATCATTAATGTCAACTATGCTTACTATGTTCACTGAATTAAGTTAAATGAGTTGTCTAACTTCAAAAATTATTTACATATTAATATAAAATATTAAGTAATGATAAAATTCATTAAGTGGTTAGAAATTAAAGTATGTATATTTTCGTTTAACAATGCTAAATGAAATGGCTGAATAGAATTAAGTCAATTTTAATAGATGTTTAAAATTGATAAAATAACTACCTTTGCATTTCCCCCCCCCCCAATATTCACATTGTACAGTCTTTTCAGACCACATTCAGGAAGAAAATCCTGTATTAAAGTAGACTTCTTTACTCTCTTTTTGTGATATTAAATGTCCTTATACATAATCAGCAAACTATTAAAAAAACTCATTTTGAAAAATCTTACTATCTTTAAAGCATTGACTACATTATTAAATATACTAGGTAGTTTACATATGGCCAAGGGATGAAAAAGCAAACAAAAACCATCCATCTCTTTTTCTGATCAAAAGCAATTCATAATATGGTCAAAAAGGCAGACATGTAAACATACAATAATATTTTCTGTTAAATTATAGAAGTGATGACCATATTAACACCCTAGCAATTACGTCAGTCTAAAGTTGGGTTGGCAGGTCTGGGAGAACTTCACAAAGGGGATCCAATTTGAACTTGTCTAGGATGAGGGGGTTTCAATCAGATATAAGATTTTTTTTCTTTTAGAATATTTTTTATAAACTAACTGTAAGATGACCAAATCAGTTCACTTTTGTAGGAGTGGAGACTCTTTGGGGCAAGTTAGATGATAGAAGCAATGCTGAAAGACAGATGGAAATCAACTAAGGAGGGCTTTTGTAGTGTTTCCAGCAGGTAAATGCAGATAGCTCATGTTTCGGCAGGTCTTTATTTTTAACTACTATCTCCCAAGCCTCCAGATGTCAGTAGGCCATGGACCTCACTCTGAGAAACAATGGTTTGGTTACTTCATCATTAATTTTGGTTCCTCATCTTGTTAAGGAAGTGGGATTTCTTTTTCCTTTAGAAACAGGTCTTGCTCTGTTGCCCAGGAGTTCAGTGGCACAATCATAGCTCATTGAAACTTTGAACTCCTAGACTTAAGGTGATCCTCCTGCCTCAGCCTTCTGAATAGCTGGGACTACAGGCATGCACTGCTGTCCCCAGTAATGCTTTCATTTGCTGTAGAGACAAGGTCTTACTCTGTTATGAAGACAGGTCTTGAACTCCTGGCCTCAAGTGATCCTCCCACTTCAGCTTCCCAAAGTACTAGGATTACAGGCATGAGCCAAGGTACCTGGCTGAGGGTTTCTCACTTACAGTTTTAAAAAATGCAATTGTGAGTATGTTATTTGGTATTTGCTATTTGATGTCTACTCTAAGGATTCCAAGGCTTTACTTAGGTGAACCATTGTGATAAATTTTATTGATACCTTTTTAAATACGAAAGTATCCTTAAATTCCTGGGTTAAACTCTACTTACTAATTGCAGGATATTTCTTTAGTATTATTAAAATCTGTTCACTAAACATACATTTGTAAAACTAAGCCATAATTTTTTAATTAATTTTTATTGTGAAAAATTTTTAAACACTTTTTGAAGTGGAGAAAAATAGTACAATGAACCCTCACATAACTCATCACTCAGGCTCAATAATTACCAATTTATGGCCAGTCTTGTTTCATCTATACATTTTTACTCACTTCCCCACTGCAAAATTTATTTCAAGTAAATTTTAGGAATCATATAATTTCATCTAAAAAAATTCAACATGTATATCTAAAATACTATTTTAATATATCTATAATTAATTCATTAATAGGAAAAGTAATTGCTTAATGTAATGAAATATCCAGTCAGTGTTCAATATTCCTTACTGTCTCAATTTATTTGAACAAGAAATCAAGATTTAAATAAGTACTAATAAGTTGGTTGGCATTTCTGTTCAAGTGCATTTTAATCTATAAATTTCCCAATTGTTTATCAAAAAATTTATTAAAATTTGTTTGGCTTACAACAAAGTACACCCACTTTCAGTGTACATTTCTGTAAATCATGACAAACTCATACACCCATGTAACCATGGCTACAGTCAAACTACAGAATATGTCTATTACCTTCCCAAAATTTCCTGTGGCCCTTTATAAGGAATCCCTTTCCTACCCCATCCTCTGGCAACCACTAATCTGATTTCTTTCTTTGTAGCTCTGCCTTTTCCACAATGTCGAATAAATGAAATCACATAACATGTAGCCTTTTGAGCATGCTTTCTTTCACTTAGCCTATACATTTGGGCCTGCATGTTTCAACTGCTCCTTTTTATTGCTGAAAACTATTCCACTGCATGGAATTCTCTAGTTGATGGACATGTGGGCTATTTCCAGTTAAAAACATTATATATAAGGCCACTCTAAACTTTCCTATACAGATTTTTATATGAACCTGTTTTTCTTTCTCCAGGGTAAATAACTAGGAGTAGAATTACTGTTATTAAAAAAAAAAGTTTGTTTTTTAAATAAACTATCTATCTGGATTCCAAAACTGCAGTGAAATTTTACATTGAGAAATAGGGAAATGTATGATTTTCCCGTTCCTGTACATACCAGGGCTTGGTTTTGTCCAGTTTCTTAAAGTCATTCTATCAGGTGTGCAACAGTATCTCATTATTGTTTTAATATGTACTTCACTTAATGGAGGTAAACATCAGTATTTCTTTTTTTTTTTTTTTTTATTTAACCACCATGGCATGTTTGTAACCATGCAACAATCCTGCAGGATGCAGGATGTGCACATGTACCACAGGGCCCAAAGTACAATAGAAAAAAAATAGACTTTATTGTTTAGAACAGTTTTAGACTTACAGAAAAATTGGAAGATTGTACAGTTTCCATCTACCCCATTCCTAGTTTCTTGTATTATTAACACCTCACATTAATAGGATGCATTTGTTACAATTAATGAACTAATATTGACACATCATGATTAACTAAAATTCACAATTTATTCAGATTTCCTTACCACTGCCTTTTTTTTTTTCACCTGCTGCGATTTTTCTATTCTGAATTGTCATGTCTCCTTAGGCTTCTCTTGGTGGTGACAGTTTCTCAGAACTGTATGCATTCTTAATTTACACAGAAGACACTGTTTTGTTTTTTCTTTCTTTTAATGCTTGGAAGTTTCATTCTAATTTTCTTATCAAAGATTTCTGCAGAGAATTCCCTTGTACAACCTACAAATCACAACATTCAAATCAAAGGGTTCATTGGAGCTAAGTATCTGCAAATCTCGAATGCGTACTGAAATCTATCAACAGCTATTTCCTATTTATAAGTTTTATATGGGAATTATAACCAATAAGTTAATTCATTCATATAATTATTGTTTCCAAAACATATTAAGTCTGCTTTGTTCTCAGTATTCATAATTGTAAACTGTGAAGTATATTTACTTCAAAACAAAGAAGGAAAATATGTATGTACCTATTACAGTGCAAATGCTTAGGAAAATGTGGTAGTTCTAGTAGCTTCCAGAAACAAGATTTACCTAACTGCTTTATATCTTTAAATTGAAATCATACCGCTAAAAAAATTCTTAAAAATAATAAGATTCCAAACTTGCATTTCAGACAGGTGAATGATACTTTAATATTAAAATAAAATTTAGAATTTTGGAGATATGTAGTACGTATTTTAATTTTATCATTCATTTCACATACAAAACCCCAAAAATTCAGATTTTTTTTAGGTACACTAATTACATTGAACCCAGCAAGGTGAGAGCTCCTCCTGCTGGCTTCAAACAAAAATTATCTAGTCCCTACCAGAATGCAAAAACACTGTAAACTCAGTAGGAAGAAAAAAACTACATCAGCATTAACATCAGTTTTAAAAAGCCAGTATTTTTCTATTTTTAATATAATAGCAATGTTTAAATAGTAAGATTAACATCTATTATTTATAGCATAATAAATGAGGAATTGGGTAAAACAAAAAATAAATAATAGGCTGGGGCCATCAAAATAAAGTTTTGAAAATACACGTTTTGTTTCGTAAGCAACATAGTGCGTAGAACATGTCTGTAAAACTGCATACAATTTTCCTATTAACTTATAGAAAAATTTTCCAGCATATTATATTTCTTTCCGAACATATCTTTTAGTTTATCAAAGTTGCCTTTATTCATGCTTTTGCAAATTATAAGAAAATTTCATGTTTTAAAAGAAAATATCAACTGATAAAAATTTAATAGTACTGTATTAAATACATAAGAAATGATTACCTGGGAATAAAAAGCTCAATATTAATTTCTTGTCTTTAAATATTTTATCAATCTTTATGTCATTTTTAGTAAATCTAAAGGGTATTAGTTTAAAAACAATTAGCATATTGATTTATAGTATATAATAGATCATCTATATTCAAATAGCACTGTAAGAAAAGGATGAGATTTTATTTGTATATCACTTTGAAAAATTAAATAAGAAAGAGATAAATTAAGCCACTAAGAAAGTCACTCTTCTTTTAAGATAATTTTGTTGTAAAAATTTAAGTCAATGTCATGTGAATTGAGTCCAAAGATTTATCAATATCTTTTAAAGTTCTGACAATCATAAATACATGTTTGAAAAATTTCTCTAACAAGCTTTATGAAAAAAAAAAAAAAAGTAAGAGGTTTCTTCCTTTAGCATCCAGCACAGCAAGTTACTAGGTCAGTAACAACACATCAGTAGAGATTTATGATGCTTCTATGTTCCACTAACTGTAAACCTCCCATAGTTCCAAAAAAAACCAAACAAAGGCAATACTTCTGACATCATGACCAGATACAGAGAATACTTCAAATTATAGATATATAAACAAACATGCACCTTTATACATTACATTTTAGAAGTAGTACATTTGAATGTAATACTGTTTAAATGCTTTAAACTGACA